CCCTAATTATTCCCCACTTTCTTCTTTCTCTCTCTAAATCATCTTTTCTCTATCCTCCATACCGGAGCACCTACCTGAAGAAGAGCCCACGACGGCATACGATTTAGGTTTCAGAGATGACGCAGTCGCCAATCGCTGAAGAGGCGCCCACTACGACATACCTGAAGAGGCGCCCACGAGAGCATCTCGCCAATCACTGCCGCAGCGGCATACGATTTCAAAGATGATGCAGTCGGATACGTTGCGTTGCAGTCGATTGGATCTCTTTTTGGATTTATGCGATGATGCCGTGTTTGTAGTTGACGGTGTGCAATGATATTGTTGACCGCGTTTGTAGTTGGTGGTAGTGATGGGTGATGTAGGTGGTGATGTAGATGTGGTGGTGATGTTGGCTGCGTTCTGGTTTTGGATCTAATTTGGGCTATGGTTCGAGATATGGGTGAAGAAATGGAGGAGGCAGAGGTGGTGTGATGTTGGTGGTGGTTATGGAGGTAATTGATAAATTTGGATCTGATTTTTTGGTGGTGTTTGGGTGGCTGGTAGTGGTGGGTTGTTAGGGCTATGTTTGTATCTGTGTTGCTGGTCGTGGCGGTGGTGCGGTGATTGGTGGTTAGGTATGGTGCTGTGGTGGTGACATTGCAAAAATGGTGGTGGTGGCGACGATGGCAAGGGTGGTTGTGATGATTTTTGGTGGGAGTGTATTGGAGCTAGTGGTGGTGGTGTTGTGGTAGTGGCTAGGGCGTGATAGTGTATGTGACTAATTATTTGGTTGATTTATGACCAAATATTGGTGGTGAATCGGGATCGGTGGTGATAATGGTGCTTGACAGTGGTGCTGGGAGGTTGTGGTGTCGGTTTGTTTGAGATGGTGATATTGCTATTGGGCAGCGACAGTGCTGGTGCTGTTGCTGGAAGCAGTGGCTAGGTGATTGTCTCAAGCATTGGTGGTGATCACAGATTATTTGGTTGATTGTGGCCAATTATTTGAGATTGTGACCAATAAATTGTATATTTTGAGACCTAAAAATTTGAAGTATGACTTTAACATTTGTGATTTGTGACCGATAATTGATATTGTGACCAATAAATTGGATATTTTGTGACCAATAAATAATATGTAACCTAAAAAATAATATGTGACTTAT